ATCCTTAGTGGCCCAGGCATCCAACCCTCCCAGTGCGAGAACTGAATCGCGCAGCCTAGGGGTGGCCGCCGTCCTGCTGGAGGAGGCGCGGCAGTGCTCTGTAAAAAACTAGGGCAGGAGAAAAAAGGAAAGGGGAATCGCCGGTTTTTAGAGAGAGAAAAAAGGGGTAAACTTATCACCCTTCCCTAACTGTTGAGAGAAAGGTTGAGTGGTGTGATTTTCACGGGTTTTGGACCGCTGGGTGTAAGTGTAAGCTTGCAAATCATTGTCAGAATCGTTGAAGATTCATTTTTTTCAAATCAAGACACATGCAAAACAAGGTAGCATTTTCAAAGTGACTATTCATAGCACATATGCAAAGGCATTCGAACAGGAAAGGAGGGTTCCGATACAATGACACAAAAGTATAAATTAGAATATGCAAGATATCAAATTATCAACAGATACAGCAAGAAAAAACATTCTCATAAATGTTCCAGAGTTGATGTATCCAAAACTCTGTCCTTAATCTTTATTAAGTTATCAGGAAACAACAAAATAAATTCACCACCATAAGTTTAAAATAGGCTATACCAAAAGGTCCAAAACCCCTACGCCAAATATTGACTATTCTCAAAATATTACTATACCTCTTTGTTTTCAAACTCTGATTTCCCAACAAGCTGAAATCCACTCTCCACACAAGGAACAAACTCCAGACGAAGAAGATCATCAGAGATATTAAGATGCTTAACCTCTTGAGTGACAATGTGATACAGGATTAGATATTCACCTTTGCCTCGAAAAAGAAGATCATCTTTTGTCCAGAACCCTAATGGCTTATGAACACCAGGAACACAAAAAGTGGATATCCACTCCCACGAACCATCATGACTTCTCACCCACAATTCAAAAGTTTTTTCCTCCGCAAATTTTGGGTAGATTATAGTTGCAAGCGACCCATCCCGCTCGGCAACATGCAGTGTATAAAATTCCGCAGCACGGTTAGCAGAATCCGGAAGATCAAGGAAAGAAAACTGTTTACTTGCAAAGTCAAAGGTAAGAAGTACCATCCTAGCGTTTATCACCACCGACCAATAAGCAACCCCATTTACAGAAGCAGAATCAAAGGGGCAACCAGAAGAAATGTTATAAGGTAATTCCTCCCAAGAATCGGACTTTAGGGAGTACAACTCCAAATGTTCCGTCGTGGGCGACCAATAATCTTCATCAGGAAAAATGGTTGTCACGAACCTTAGTACTTTAAAATCTTGAGAATCTACTATCGAACCCAATCACGTGAGGTTTAAACATGAGAAAATCAGCATCTGGATGGAGTTGGATGCTGGTCTTAGGAAGGAACTTGAATTCGTCAGTAGACGGGTTCCAAAGGGCAAGTCTATCTTCAATAAGCCCAGCGGCGCCGGCGAGGCACACCACTCCATCACAATAGCTCAAGCTCATAATCCTAGGAAATGGTAAGTGGAGTTGTTGTGTGGATAATGATTTGTCGTCCCAGGAAAGCAGAGAGAAATAGTGACGCCTAAAATCGACGTCTAGCTCAATGTTGTTTCCATGTAAACGAAGCAAAAGAGGCAGCTTTCTCTCAATTTCCAGATGGCTTTTGGGAATGGGTGAGATAGTCCTCGAAAAATACCTGGAACTTGTTCGACCAACATTCTTCAACATCAACGTTCCCACATCGAATCGATGAAACCCTAATGGAATGTGAAGCGAGGAATTGGGTTCAACTGATGAGAGATTCTTCCTCGAATAATACCTGGAACTGAAGGATGGTCTTTGAGAAACATTCTTCAACATCTCGACATTCCCCTATCGAATCGATGAAAACCTAATGGATTGATTATTTGGTCTTATGTTAAAAAAGATGGTGACGAACGATGATTGTACTGTCCTCTGCTGTGTGTTTCGGGTAAGGGGCTGCTTTATATAAGAACTAGGGGGAGTGACAGCATCGAAATTTCAAGTGACTTGATTGTGTATTCAATTTAGATTTGTTAGGGTATTCAATTGAGATTTGAAAGTCATATAAAACTAGTACTAACACCCGTGTATTATACGGGTGCTTGCTAATTTTTTTCTTAAAATCTAAAATTAATAAGAAAAAAGTAATTTGAAAATTTAAATACCTTTTATAAGAATATATATATTATTATATAATTATTATGACACTTTTTATTTGTGCGACTTACTAACTATTATACTAATTTTTTTAACTTACAATATATAACTATATTAAATATAAATATATCAATTGAGAAATAATTTTATTTTTCTAATTAATTTTAATAAATATTATTATTTTTTATTATTATAAAGATAAATATAATTTATTTATTTCATATATACAATATAATTTATTTTATTTAACATACAATATATAACTACATTACATATAAATATATCAATTGATAAATAATTTTATTTTTCTAATGAATTTTAATAAATATTATTTTTTTTATTATAAAGATAAATATAATTTATTTATTTCACATATACAATGTGGATGTCAATTCGAAGATCATCAAAAGATGATTAATTTGATATATTATATATGTAAAACCGATACGAAATACAAAAGTTATTAACTTTTAAAATACATTTATAATTCAATAGCTTATAGAAGGAAACAAATCAAAATTCAGAGATATATTTGTCACTTAGTGCCTCACTATGTAAAATTACAAAAAATTAAAGGGTTATATTAGTAAAAGTGATATTAAAATACCTAAGTTAGCTAAATAATATTTATGGAATACCCGAACCTAGATTATTAATTATTAATATATCAATATTATTCATCCGAACCTAATTACGAAGCATGATTCTTCGCCAAATAGGATTACGAAGCACCAGAAGCAGCCACGTAGGCTCAACGCATTCTGGAATTATATATAGGTAGGATTTTGAGTTATTTAATTTATTCGACAGTGAGATTTGTTAAGATTTCTTAAGATTTGGTGAAATTTCTAAATAAAAAATTTTATATAAAATCTCACCTCAAATCCTACCTCCAGACATAAAATTTTACATAATTCTTCCAAAATCTAAAAATCTTAAAAAATTTCGAATCTTAAAAACTCTTAAAATCTATATATAAAACCAAAGCAGCTGGAAGAAATTTTTTTTCCTTCCCATTTTGTATTAAATGGTTTTCATTAATGGTTTGATCAATTCAATAAATATTGTCAAAAAAATTTAAAGTCCTATTGGAATTGTGTATAATATTATCTCCTATTTTTAATATATGTCGTTTTGAGAAGTTGTATACTAATTAAGAATTTTTTTTTTTGTCAATAATAACCTTATTTAATGAAGATAGAGATGAATATTTTGAGAAAAAGTGAAGAGTGAATATGAAAAGACGTAATGTATTTATTGGCTAAATGAGGGTAATAATGGAAAATATGTACAAAAGATCCAAAACGATATTTATTTGGCAAATAGTTGAAAAAGCTAGAATAACATTTTTTTAAAAAAAAGAGGGAGTAGATGATAATATTATTGGAAATGTTGAATAAGTTGACAATTGTTTAGAATGTTGTGCTAATTCTACACATCTCAATACAACTAATAATTATATCAAACAAAAAATAATAATGATTAATGTTAAATTATCTATTAATTGTCCTCAACAAATCAATTCGTTAATTTTTTAAAACCATCCACTTTGGAATTTTAAATTATAAGACCATATTAGCTTTTTATTATAGAACCAAAATATAAGAGCCTAATGTAGTCTTTATTTTATTTATACATGCTTTGCAATCGTGGGTCATATTGAAATTGTAAACTCGTAACTACATAATATAAAACCTAATATATTTAATTATAATGCGGCAAAATAAAAGTTTATAGAATTTAAAAGATCAAAATTTGTCATTTTTATAGGATGTATTTATATCTAATTCATCGAGTAATTTTTCCATTGCAAAAAATCATAAAAACTAAACAGAAAGTTATAACATATTAACTATTATTCTCAAAGTCAGAGGTACAATTGGAATATCAATAAAAATTATTTTTCTTTCAAAACTTTATTTATGTTTGTGATGTAACTAGTACAACACCCGTATATACACGGGTGCTTGTTAAAAAATTATTCTTAAATTTTAAAATTAATTAAAAAATTATATTAAATTTAACTTACTTTTTTACAAAAAAAATATATATATTACTATATATTTTAGAATGATATGTGTTACTTATTACTTACATGTGTTGTATTATATTAGTTTTTATAACTTATATCATATAACTACTTGAAATATAATAGTTGATAAATAATATTATTTTTATAATTAATATTAAAATTAATTTTATTATTGTTATAAAGATAAATATAAGTTATTTTTTTTTATACATACAATATAGATGTTAAATCGAAACTCATCAAAAGAAGATTAATTTGATATATTATATATGTAAAACTGATAAAAAAATACAAAAGTTATTAACTTTTAAAATACATATACAATTCATCTATTAATATATAATAAGGATTAACATAATTCAATTTTAGCAACTCTTTCCCGCCAATTTCATTAATTATTACCTAAAAATAGTAAATTAACATAATCATAATTTATTAGCATATCAGCTTTTTTTTAGGAATACAATTGAATACTTTTATATTTGTAGCCAATATGGAATCAAAATCCAAATAAATCTACTATTTCTCAATTATAGATTTGTTTTCCTCTTTTTGTGGCCGCATATCTTATATTTTTTATGGAGTCTGCCAAAAAAAAAGCTATATCAATTCATCAAATAATTAAATAATATATTCAATTAGCATATTTTTTATGTGTTCGAATGTGATGGGAGTTTCCCTACCCAGAAATAATTAAGTTTGGAATTTTATATTTTTTTAATTTGCTATGAATTGTTGCCTGCTTTCGTAGAATTTTTTTATCTTTAATTTTAATCCATTGTCGTTGAATATTCGTGAAATTGAAATGATGATTTCATTACTTTAATCAATGTCATTGTATATTCGTGAGATTAGAATCTTTATAAATTTATAATTTGAAAATAATCTAAAAAATACCATTAATATACGTATTTACGAAATATACACTTAATATACTTAATACACTTAATTTAAAAAATACACTTACCATATGTATTTTTTTTTTTTAAATACAATATATAATATTTAATTAATAATTGTCAATTAAAGATTCTTTTTAAGAATCAATCATATTTGTAAATACATTCAATCTTGATTGATAACTTAATATATCATCATACTAAACTACGACCCATCACCCATTAGATAGACAAATATATATACTTAACAATATCGGATACACATTTGGAAATTATACATAATTGCATTGATGTACATTCTATTATAAATTGTAAATCAATTGTTAGTTATTGTATTTGAACAAAAATTACACATGATCATGTAAATCAATTATTATAATTAATTACTTGTGTTATTATAAATTGTACTGGGATGTGAATACACACGATCATGTCAAAATGACACAATTTGAGTACGTGTTGAAATTCATTTTTACTGGTTACACAAATCCCCATTTATATGGACTCTTCCAATTAATTTTGTTAGATAAAAAATACGAAATATTTTTCAAATTTTTTTGTCCATAATTATCTCAATACAACGCTTTTTAAATTTTTTGAAAAAATCTATTTATATGGATTCTTTCAATTATTTTTGGTATGTAAAAAAATCGAGATGGGCTATTTGATTTCTAAAAAAATCAATATTATAATTTGGTAATTATTAGTAAATATTTAGTGCGATTAATTTATATGCATACATAATTTTTTATTTAAGTTAATGTGAAATCAACAATTGATCTAAATCTATTAATTAAAATTTTCAAACTTTTTCAATCAATTATTTTATTTCTACCTAATTTATTTTTATATTTTTATTGATATGCTACCATAATATTTGAAGAAATACTGTTTAATAAAATTAAAATTTTGATTTAATTCGAGAAAATTAGTTGATAAATTTGAGCGATAAGGTAACCGACAACAACTCTAAAAAATTACGAGATATATATATAATATA